TCTCTCTCTCTGTCTCTCTCTCTGTCTCTCTCTCTGTCTCTCTTGAGGAAAATGAAACTCAAAACCAGGGCTTTACAGAAGAGGGAGAAAGAACAGGAAAGAGCAGGCAACTAAACCCATGCTGTAGGATCCTACCCCTAATGTGTGGTTGGTGATGTCTGTGCTGGCCTGCTGATTTATGGAGGAGATATTAAGGTCTGAGATCAGTCAGTGTTTCTGTATAGCTTTGAAATGCAGCACGAATTGGGACAGTGCTGCACATACTCCCACTGTACCGCTCCAAATCCTCCTTCAAAAGTTCAGTGTGTCATTCTTCCTTCTGTTCAAAAGAAGGTGGTAAAAGCATCCTCACTGAAGCTGCTGGGATAAGAGGTTTCTATTCATCTCGTTTTCTGGCACACGCACTTCTCAGACGTGCCTTGGCAGTGCGTGTGCTGAGTAGCAGCCTTCCTGGAAGCTGGCCCGCTCGCGGGGCGCTGCGGGAGCAAGTGGCGAGTGGCTGCTGCGCCCGCGGAGCTGCCGCCTGCCTGCCTGCCTGCCTGCGGCACGAGCGGCGCCTGCGACCCTGGGACGTGCCTCTGCCCTGCCCTGTCCCCCTGCCACAAGAATGACAAATTAGCAGGTCCACCTCCCGCTCTTGGAAAACCTCTTGTCAAGAGGTTTGCCTATGGAGCAGCTGGTAGAAAATACTTGGCTTCATTTTCCGTAAACTGAGGTCTCCTGGCTGTTAGAAGCTACTGGGATTAGGGAGAATGGCTCTTGTGGGACTGAGCTGGGAAGGGTGATTAGAGCTAAGGATTTCTGTGAGAAAAGACTGGATAGTGGATCTGGGGAGCTTATCTTTTTGCACTTTTTAAAGTTCTGCTTGAAGTCCCARTTTTACAATAGACGTCAATACCCTTCTGTTTGTAAAATTCAATGAAATACATGGATTTCACTTCTCTATGCAGTTCTGAGCTTTGATTTCTTATCTCTTTGCTAGAAGGAAGCCCATTTCTGTGGCCAGCTGCTGAAAGCTCTATTTCTGTGCAGTTTATGATACAACTTCAAACATACTACTTTTGTCTTTTGCTTTAGCCCTATGTTTCAGAGAGCACCTCAGTTCCCAAAGTTGTTACTTGCAGATAAGGCAAAGTACAGTGAATTTCATGTCTCAACTTCTGAGTGATTCCCGGGTTCTGAAACTGATTATTCTTCATATTTGTAGCAAGCTGCTGTGTGTTTATGGTGACATTAACTTGGTATATAGAAGCACTTGTGTTAGCTGCTATCAGGTGCCTGTGGTTTTTGTGGTTGGCTGTTTGGTATTGCTTTCTAGTAACTAGTTTAGTGAAAAACTCTTGCGGCTTTGCAAAAATTCAATAGAACATCCCTCACTAAGCCTGTAGAGTTTCATGTTTGTGTTTAAAAAAAAAAAAGGGGGGGGTATCTAATGTTTTACTTTTCATACAGCATTGTGTAAGACTACTTTTTATTTATTTAAAAAAAAAAAGAAAAGAAAAAAACTCCTTTCTTTGCAGTGATTCGACATGGAGAACTGCGTTTCTCCACCACAACTCCTCTTGCACTAAAATCTGACCTGAGAGAAGTGCTGTAAATAACATGTTCTTCACTTGTTGCATGACTAATCTCTAATGTATCCTGCTTAACTAGTGTGCAACTAGTAACTATGTATCATACGTAAACAAGGTGGTTCACCTGAGGTTAAATAATGCGTTACCATATTAGGACTGCTTTAAATGATTATGGAAAAAGAATGCTGTGTGGCATCAGCACCTCTTCCGTATTCAAGGCTTTTAAAAGAGGAGCAGTAACTTTAGGTAAATACTTAAAATGGGGATGGATGGCAGGGCGGGGAAATCCATATCTACATGAACTGTTCAACGGACTGAAGAAAGGAAATTCATCCTTATGCATTGCAAAATATATTCCACTTCACCTATAAACATAAGSTTTTCTGGCACTCATCCCAAGTGTCTGGGATTGGGATTGTTTGTATGTATATTGGTTTTAATAAATTATGTCTTTCAGGTGTTTTTCTGTTTCTCTAGTTGTCTTCTAAATTATAYTGTGGAAAATAAAATATTACTGGAGACTTTGAAAAGATTGCATTAAATTTGAAAACATTTTTAGGTTTTAACAGATAAGCTGTAATTCATACAGAAAATTATTCTTAACTAGACAACTCCATCATATATATTTCTCTCCCCTCTATCCCAAATTTCCTTGCTGTTTCAAACTTTAAATTGAAAACATTTAGGCAGTTGTCTAAGAGTCAAGATGAAGGGCAGGAAATGACCTACAAAGAGAGCAGGTGACAYGCTGTCACACAGCCTAGAAAAAGAATGATTAAACCCTGCTTCCCAGAGGGCTATATCTGGAGGGCAGAACACTTTCTTCCATTCCATGTATTATCTTATTCATCACCCTCATTCACAGAGGGTGTTTCCCTCTGTGGATTTACTCTTTCTTTCTTTTTTTTTTTTTTTTTTTTTTTTTCTCTCTTTTCTCTCCCTCCTAGTGGTAATCTGCAAACTATTTTGAAATATCTAGTGTTCTGCAGCTGAATGCTACACTACTGTCACAAAGTGCAGCTACTTAGTTGGCTTATGAGTATTCCCAGTTCTAGCATTGCAAGTTTGGTAATGCAGTAATTCAGCTAAATGTTTCTGAACTGTGTTTTGTTTTGCTTGGRGGAAAGATAGAACAGAACTGAATACTGTAATAGTGGGACCTGCCGTCAGCTGCTTTTCATTCAGGCTGCCAAGATAAATGGGAATGCTCCTGATGGAAGCAGTGCTTGTCCGTGAGGAAAAGGCCAGCACTCTCCCCCTGCTAAATCATTTGAATGTCTTGCGAGTCAGCCAAAGCTTTTTCCCTTCTTTCAGACAGTTGGGGAGAGGAGTRATTGTGATCTAGAATATGGCACTAGTCTGGGAATTACAACCAAGCTTTGTTTTTGGCTGTTATGGGCCTCTTGTGCAAGAGAGCAAGGTGTGTGACTTAGCTGGGCTGTAGTTACCCTCTTGGCTAGGAGGGCAGAGATTGGGGTGCAGAGGTGTTGCAGAATCCTCCGAGTCAGGAGGCACCGCAGGTCCGTGTGGGAACTGGGCCAGGAAACTTGTTCCTCTTTCAAACTCTGTTCCTGGGGTTCTGGAAAGCCATTAGCCAAGTCACCCCCTTTAAAATCTGGAAGGGGAACAGCCCAGCTATTGTTACCATCTTGCAAAGTGTCTAAAGCTCTGCAGGTGGAAAAGAGCTCTTAGG